GAATAACAGATTCACTACATGGAACAACAGATAGTCCTTACTGCTATTAGCCCATACAAACACATTGAATAAACATATTCACTACATGGAACAACAGATAGTCCTTACTGCTATTAGCCCATACAAACACATTGAATAACAGATTCACTACATGGAACAACAGATAGTCCTTACTGCTATTAGCCCATACAAACACATTGAATAACAGATTCACTACATGGAACAACAGATAGTCCTTACTGCTATTAGCCCATACAAACACATTGAATAACAGATTCACTACATGGAACAACAGATAGTCCTTACTGCTATTAGCCCATACAAACACATTGAATAACAGATTCACTACATGGAACAACAGGATGTGGACACCTGCTCGTCGAACATCTCATTCCAAAATTAATATGGAGTTGGTCCCCCCTTTGCTGCTATAACAGCCTCCACTCTTCTGGGAAGGCTTTCCACTAGATGTTGGAACATTGCTGCGGGGACTTGCTTCCATTCAGCCACAAGAGCATTAGTGAGGTCGAGCACTGATGTTGGGCGATTAAGCCTGGCTCGCAGTCGGCGTTCCAATTCATCCCAAAGGTGTTCAATGGGGTTGAGGTCAGGGTTCTGTGCAGGCCAGTCAAGTTCTTCCACACCGATCTTGACAAACCATTTCTGTATGGACATCGCTTTCTACAAGGAGGCATTGTCATGCTGAAACAGGAAAGGGCTTCCCCAACTGTTGCCACAACGTTGGAAGCACAGAATCGTCTAGAATGTCATTGTATGCTGTAGCATTGATTTTGCTTCACTCGAAACTAAGGGGCCTGAACCATGAAAAACAGCAGAAGATAATTATTCCTCCTCTACCAAACTTTACAGTTGGCACTGTGCATTGGGGCAGGTGGCGTTCTCCTGGCATCCGCCAAACCCAGATTCGTCCGTCGGACTGCCAGATGGTGAAGCGTGATTCATCACTCCAGAGAATGTGTTTCCACTGCTCCAGAGTCCAATGAGCTTTACACCACTCCAGCCAACGCTTGGCATTGCAAACGGTGATCTTAGGCTTGTGTGCGGCTGCTCGGCCATGGAAACCCATTTCCTGAAGCTCCTGACGAACAGTTCTTGTGCTGACGTTGCTTCCAGAGGCAGTTTGGAACTCGGTAGTGAGTGTTGCAACTGAGGACAGACGATTTTTACGTGCTATGTGCTTCAGCTGTGATGAGTGTGATTAGAAGGAGTCAGGCGCAGGAGGGTAAATCACCGAATACAGAGTTTATTCCATCGTACACAGTTGCGCTGGATAGCAACAACAAAATACAGGCACAGGGGAACAATCTACCCCGGCAATACAAGGTACGAGTAGCTCCACCGAGCTACACTCAACTCACATTAAAACAATCACCCACAAGGACAAGGGGGCAGAGGGAACACTTAAACACATACTAATGAGGGGATATGAACCAGGTGTGTGTAATTGACAAGACAAGACAAATGGAATGATGAGATGAGGAGCGGCAGTGGCTAGAAGGCCGGTGACGACGAACGCTGAAGCCTGCCCGAACAAGGAGGGGAGGCAGCCTCGGCGGAAGTCGTGACATCAGCTCTCCGCGGTCCCGTTCTGTGAGCTTCTGACGAGTCCTAGATCAAAACAATATGTGTGTGTTCGTGTTAGTATCACCTTTGCACCGAGGGGTCATAATGGTGCATCCGTTCGGACGCTACAGACAGAAGTTGGCAGATCGGCTGCTGCGACTTCCAATCAGTGCCAAGACGCTTGTGGGAGTCGTAGAGCAACTGGTACTGGGGGAGAGGTCTGATCTTGGAGACAAGAGTTGGTTGGACCTGTGGGCGTCCCAGTGTGTACAGACAAAAGTTGGTGCCAGGTGCACCAGTTTGAGTGTGTCAAGAACTGCAACGCTGCTGGGTTTTTCACACTCAACAGTTTCCCGTGTGTATCAAGAATTGTCCACCACCCAAAGGACATCCAGCCAACTTGACACAACTGTGGGAGTCAACATGGGCCAGCATCCCTGTGGAACGCTTTTGACACCTTGTAGAGTCCATGCCCTGACGAATTGAGGCAAAAGGGTGGGGGGGGGGGGGGGGGGGGGGGGGTGGAAGGTGTTCCTAATGTTTTGTACACTCAGTGTATATTATCCATGTCCTTGAACCATAGTATATTACAGTTCATAATGTCCCATTGATAGGAGAGTCTCGAACGGAGCTCGTCCAGTTTATTCTCCAGCGATTGAGACAGGGAAGGAGTTTAACATTTTTTTTATTTCACCTTTATTTAACCAGGTAAGCCAGTTGAGAGCAAGTTCTCATTTACAACAGCGACCTGGCCAAGATAAAGCAAAGCATTGCGATAAAAACAACAACACAGAGTTACATATGGGGTAAACAAAACATAAAGTCAAAAATACAACAGAAAATATATATACAGTGTGTGTGAATGTAGTAAGTTATGGAGGTAAGGCAATAAATAGGCCATAGTGCAAAATAGTTACAATTTCGTATTAACACTGGAATGATAGATGTGCAGAAGATGATGTGCAAATAGAGATACTGGGGTGCAAATGAGCAAAATAAATAACAATATAGGGATGAGGTAGTTGGGTGGGCTAATAGAGAGTGGAGGAAGGAGACAGGGAAGGAGTGGAGGAAGGAGACAGGGAAGGGGGAGGAAGGAGGCAGGGGAGGAAGGAGGCAGGGAAGGAGGGGGAAAGACAAAGGTGAGGAAGAATCAAAGGAGTGGAAAAAGAAGGTAGGGAAGAGTGAAGAGGAGAGGAGGGAAGTAATGGCAGATGAGACAAAGAGTTGAAATTTGGATAAACAGGGAAGAGTGGAGAGGAAGTGAGAGTGAGGCAAAAGGAGTGGGGAGTGAGGAGGGGAGGAGTGGAAGGAAGGAGAGAAGAGAGGAAGTATGGGGAAAAGGAACAGGTAAGGTGGAGGAAGGAGCAGGGAAAGGAAGTACGGTGGAAGGAGGACAGGGAAGGAGTGGAGGAAGGAGACAGGGAAGGAGTGGGAGCAACGGACAGGGAAGGAGTGGAGGAAGGAGGAAGGAAAGATTGGGGCAAAGTGAAGGGAAGGAATGGAGGAAGGAGAACAGGGAAGGAGTGGAGGAGGAGAGGGGAAGAGGTGAGGAAGGAAGCAGGGAGGAGTGAAGAGTGGAGGAAGGAGGCAGGAGAGGAGTGGATGGAGGAAGGAGACAGGAAGGAGTGGAGGAAGGAGTAGGAAGGAGTGGAGGAAGGAGACAGGGAAGGAGTGGAGAAGGAGGCAGGAAGGAGTGGGAGGAAGGAGACAGGGAAGGAGTGGAAGGAAGGCAGGGAAGGAGTGGAGGAGTAAGGAGGATGGGAAGGAGATGGAGAAGGAGAAGGAAGGATGCGAGGGAAGGAAGGAGTGGAGGAAGGAGGCAGGGAAGGATAGTGGCAGGAAGGAGGTAGAAGGAGTGGAGGAAGGAGCAGGGAAGGAGTTGGAGGAAGGAGACAGGGAAGGAGTGGAGGAAGGAGCAGGGAAGGAGTGGAGAAGGAGGGGAGGGAAGGAGAAGTGAGAGGAGAAGGAAGGAGGAAGGGAAGGAGGGAGAGTGAGGAGGCAGGGAAGAGTGGAGGAAGGAGACAGGGGAAGGAGTGGAGGAAGGAGACAGGGAAGGAGTAGGGAGGAGTGGAGGAAGGAGGCAGGGAAGGAGTGGAGGAAGGAGACAGGGAAGGAGTGGAGGAAGGAGGCAGGGAAGGAGTGGAGGAAGGAGACAGGGAAGGAGTGGAGGAAGGAGACAGGGAAGGAGTTGAGGAAGGAAGCAGGGAAGGAGTGGAGTGGAGGAAGGAGGCAGGGAAGGAGTGGAGTGGAGGAAGGAGACAGGGAAGGAGTGGAGGAAGGAGGTAGGGAAGGAGTGGAGGAAGGAGACAGGGAAGGAGTGGAGCAAGGAGGTAGGGAAGGAGTGGAGGAAGGAGACAGGGAAGGAGTGGAAGAAAAAGGCAGGGAAGGAGTGGAGGAAGGTGACGGGGAAGGAGTGGAGGAAGGAGACGGGGAAGGAGTTGAGGAAGGAAGCAGGGAAGGAGTGGAGTGGAGGAAGGAGGCAGGGAAGGAGTGGAGGAAGGAGGCAGGGAAGGAGTGAAGGAAGGAGGTAGGGAAGGAGTGGAGGAAGGAGACAGGGAAGGAGTGGAGGAAGGAGACAGGGAAGGAGTGGAGCAAGGAGGTAGGGAAGGAGTTGAGGAAGGAGACAGAGAAGGAGTGAAGGAAGGAGGCAGGGAAGGAGTGAAGGAGGCAGGGAAGGTCTTGAGGAAGGAGGCCGGGAAGGTGTGTAGGAAGGAAGCGGGGAAGGAGTTGAGGAAGGAGGCAGGGAAGGAGTGGAGGAAGGAGACAGGGAAGGAGTTGAGGAAGGAGGCAGGGAAGCCGTGTAGGAAGGAGGCAGGGAAGGAGTTGAGGAAGGAGGCAGGGAAGGAGTGGAGGAAGGAGACAGGGAAGGAGTTGAGGAAGGAGGCAGGGAAGCCGTGTAGGAAGGAGGCAGGGAGGGGAGAAGAAGAAGGAGGAAGCCACTTCAGTCTATTGATATGAACCCAATTTAGCCCCACATGACTCAGAAATAACTGATCTCGCATGAGGCATTGTGTCAGCTGTCCGAGTGGGGAGGGGGACGGCGGGTGGTGGTGAGGGGTGTATTACATTTCACATGTTCCAGAATGGATTCCACAGAGTGCCCCACACTGAGGACAAGCCTATATATAAACTACCAGTTGGAGCAGGAGTTAAAAGGACGGGACAGCTGAGGGAGTGAGACCAGCCGCCCCAGAGTACACTCCTTACGGTTCAAACCACACAGACCCAGGCTACTTATAACACACAGACCGAACCCCTACCTCCTCTTTCCAGGCTGGACTGTGAAGAGAGCCTGATCTTGGAGCTCTGCTGTGTGGACAGGAGACAGACAGGACAGACACCAAGGACCAGGACGCCCTAGGCCTCTCGTTTCCTGCTTATTGACTGGAGTTGTCCCCCTGGACCGAGGCACCATGGCTCTGTCCATCGACCCGGCCGAGGAGCCCAGGATGTACCAGCAGACCCTGTTGCAGGACGGTCTCTATGATCTACTGGAGAATGACAAGCTGGTGGACTGTGTCCTGAAGATCAAGGACAAGGAGTTCCCCTGCCACCGTCTGGTGCTGTGTGCCTGCTCCTCCTTTTTTAGGGCCCTGTTCCTGTCAGACCTGGAAGAGGAGAAGAAGCAAGAGGTGGTGTTGGAGGATGTAGAGCCGGGGGTCATGGGTCTGATTCTGAAGTACCTCTACACCTCCACCATTAATGTGACAGAGCAGAATGTCCAGGACATCTTCTCTGTCGCCAACATGTTCCAGATTCCTTCTATTTTCACAGTGTGTGTCTCCTTCCTCCAGAAGAAACTCAGTCTCAGTAATTGTCTGGCTATATTCCGACTGGGCCTGATGCTGGACTGTCCTCGCCTCGCTGTCTCCGCTCGCAACTACGCCTGCGAACGCTTCCAGCTCATCGCTCGTGATGACGACTTCCTGACGCTGGGTCCCAGCGAGCTGGCAGCCATCTTTGACAGCGGACACGCTGAATGTGGAAACGGAGAAAGAGGTGTTTGAGGCAGTGGAGAAGTGGGTCGGTCAAGATGTGGAGAACAGGTTGAAGGAACTACCCGGACTGATGGATTGTGTCAGACTCAGACTGGTCGACAAGGACTACTTCACTGAGACGGTGAGCAGTATGTCTAGTGTTAATCAAATCAAATCAATATAAATATGGACAAGCAATGACAGAGCGGCATGGACTAAGATACAGTAGAATATTATAGAATAGAATGCAGTATATACATATGAGATGAGTAGTGCAAGATATGTAAACATTTTTAAGTGACTAGTGTTCCATTTCTTAAAGTGGCCAGTGATTTCAATAGGCAGCAGCAGCCTCTAGTGTGCTAGTGATGGCTATTTAACAGTCTGATGTCCTTGAGATAGACGCTGTTTTTCATTCTCTCGGTCCCAGCTTTGATGCACCTGTACTGACCTCGCCTTCTGGATGATAGCGGGGTGAACAGGCAGTGGCTCAGGTGGTTGATGTCCTTGATGATCTTTTTGGCCTTCCTGTGACATCGGGTGCTGTAGGTGTCTTGGAGGGCGGGTAGTTTGCCCCCCGGTAATGCGTTCGGCAGACCGAACCACCCTCTGGAGAGCCCTGCGGTTGCGGGCTGTGCAGTTGCCGTACCAGGTGGTGATACAGCCCGACAGGATGCTCTCAATTGTGCATCTGTAAAAGTTTGTGAGGGTTTTAGGTGCCAAGCCAAAATTTCTTCAGCCTCCTGAAGTTGAAGAGGCTCTGTTGCGCCTTCTTCACCACACTGTCTGCGTGGGTGGATAATTTAAGTTTGTCAGTGACGTGTACGCCAAGGAACTTGAAGCTTTTCACCTTCTTCACTGTGGTCCCGTCGATGTGGATAGGGGGGTGCACCCTCTGCTGTTTCCTGAAGTCCACGATCATCTCCTTTGTTTTGTTTTGTTGAGTGAGAGGTTATTTTCCTGGCACCACACTCCCAAAGCCCTCACCTCCTCCCTGTAGGCGGTCTTCTCATTGTTGGTAATCAAGCCTACTACAGTTGTGTCGTCTGCAAACTTGATGATTGAGTTGGAGGCGTGCTTGGCCACGCAGTCATGGGTGAACAGGGAGTACAGGAGGGGGCTGATTATGCACCTTTGTGGGGCCCCTGTGTTGAGGATCAGCGAAGTGGAGATGTTGTTTCCTACCTTCCCCACCTGGGGGCGGCCCGTCAGGAAGTCCAGGACCCAGTTGCACAGGGCAGGGTTCAGACCCAGGGCCTCGAGCTTAATGATGAGCTTGGAGGGTACTATGGTTTTGAATGCTGCGCTATAGTTAATGAACAGCATTCTTACATAGGTATTCCTCTTGTCCAGATGGGATAGGGCAGTGTGCAGTGTGATGGTGATTGCATCGTCTGTGGATCTATTGGGGCGGTAAGCAAATTGAAGTGGGTTTAGGGTGACAGGTAAGGTAGAGGTGATATGATCCTTGACTAGTCTCTCAAAGCACTTCATGATGACAGAGGTGAGTGCTACGGGGCGATAGTCATTTAGTTCACTTACCTTTGCTTTCTTGGGTACAGGAACAATGGTGGCCATCTTGAAGCATATGGGGACATCAGACTGGGATAGGGAGAGATTGAATATGTCCGTAAACACACCAGCCAGCTGGTCTGAGCATGCTCTGAGGACGCGGCTAGGGATGCCGTCTGGGCCGGCAGCCTTGCAGGGGTTAACATGCTTAAATGACTGTTATAATGTAGTAGGCTTGTGTGTGTAAAATACTGCTGTTTCTTCTTGTCTGCTGTCTTGATGTTGTGTGTTACTGTATGTGATTGTTGTCACATGTTGTAATAATCTATAAATTCTCCCACCAGGTGGAGAAGCATGAGTGGATCTGCTCCAACCCTGAGATGGAGAAGAAACTTCAGCTGGTCAGAGACGCTCATGCTGGAAA